CCCAGAACAAGCTGTTCCATCATCTTTCCAGGGATGGAGGTGAGGCTGACTTGCCTATAGTTTCCTGGGTCATCCTTCTTGCCCTTTTTGAAGACTGGAGTGACATTGGCTATCCTCCAGTCCTCAGGCACCTCACCTGTTCTCCAGGACCTTTCAAAGATGATGGAGAGCAGCCCAGCAATGACTTCCTCCAGCTCCCGCAGCACTCGAGGGTGCATCCCATCAGGCCTCATGGACTTGTGGATATCCAGTTTATCTAACTGATCTCTAACTTGTTCCTCATCAACCAAGGGAACATCTTGCTTCCTCCAGACTTTCTCTGTTACCTGCAAAGTCTGGGTCTCCCAAGGACTGGCCTGAACAGTGAAGACAGAAGCAAAGGCGGCATTCAGCAACTCCGCCTTCTCTGCATCATCTATCACCATGGCACCTCTCTCATTCAACAGCAGGCCCACATTTTCCCTAGTTTTCCTTTTGTCTCCTATATACTTAAAGAAACCCTTCCTGTTGGCCTTGACATCCCTTGCCAGGTTCGATTCCAAGGCTGAAGTCCTACCTCCATCTGCTTTCAGTTAACTACGAACTAGTGAGATCTCAAAATCAGATTCCCTAAACAGAATAAGCAATGATCTGGAGAAACAGTACATACTCAGAGACTGCAATCATCCATTTAATGAAAATGCTGTTGTGATTTCCATTGCAGGAAAGGGTACTTTCTGAAGACCATAAGCAACAACAGTTACCAAAATAGCTGAAACAGTAGGGCAACCTTGCTGCACAAAGACTTCTCCCTGTTCATTAACTGCTCACATCCAAAGTTAAATAATTACGAATATTCTTTGGAGTGAGATTGCCTGACCTTGGGATTTTTTTTCCATTCAGCAGAAAAAAAAATATGCTGACCTACAAAATCACAGACTGCAAATAGCATTTCATCTATGTAACAGGGCTTCCTCCTGAACGTCTCTAACTGGAAAGTTTAATGAGAAGACAGTGTCATCACATCAGAATCTATTTAGGTTTGGACTAAGAGGGGAAATAAAGGCCACATATTCCTGCCAATGTTCAGAATGTGGCTAAAGTAAGCGCCTTCTTGGTTTTTTTTTTTTAATTAGGGATGGAAGTAGATACATCCTTAAGTTAACCAAGAGCTTGTTTACATGCAGAAGCCTCACCTACAAAGAACCAAAAGCTGAAAAACACACACCAAATCACCATTCCTAAGACTCCGAGTAACACCTCAGCCTGGCAAGACAGAATTGGAAGCAACCTGTGGTGAAAGCCTTCTTACGAGCCTACTCTGCTTATAATGCCAAGCCCAGACCTTTGAAGATCCTGCTGCCATCTTCCCAGCACTGTTGAGGTTTGAGGGTGATAGGAAAGACATTTTTTATATCAGTATTATAACAGTAAATTATGAAGAATCTACCAAGGCTGTGGTATGGCATCCAAACCACTACCATGAAGTTAATCCAAAGTTTTCCTGCAGTGGCTTTGAGGTGGTATTCTGCTGGGAATGAGCCAGACCTATTTTTACCAGATACCACTCTACAAGAAAGCAAAAAAATAGTTCCTTATTGTCTAAAGGAAAGAGACAGAGAAACATGAGATGACCTAAAATAAACAGAGGTCACTAACAGTTTGTCATGGTTTCAGCTGGGATAGAGTTGAGTTTCTTACCAGCAGCTGGTATAGTGCTATGTTTTGGATTTGAGATGAGAGTGGTGTTGATAGCACACTGGTGGTTTTGGTTGTTGCTAAGCAGTCAAGGCTTTTTCTGCTCTTCATATTGGCCTGCCACTGAGGGCTGGTAGTGCACAAAAAGTTGGGAGCAGGCACAGCTGGGACAGCTGACCCCAACTGACCAAAGCAGTATTCCATACCACATGATGTCATGCTGAGCATATAAATAAAGATGGGGGAAGAAGGAGGAAGGGGGGGATGTTCGGAATTATGGTGTTTTTTCTTCTCAACTAACGGTTACGCATGATGGAGCCCTGCTTTCCTGGAGATGGTTGAACATCTGCCTGCTGATGGGAAGCAGTGAATGAATTTCTTATTTTCCGTTGCTTGTGTGTGCCGCTTTTGCTTTATTAAATTGTCTTTATCTCAACCCATGAGTTTTCTGACTTTTGCTCTTCTGATTCTCTCCCCCACCCCACTGAGGGGGCAAGTGAGCAAGTGGCTGCGTGGTGCTTAGTTGCTGGCTGGGGTTAAACCACGACACAGTTTTAAGAAAGAACTAACAGGATAATTGAGCCTGTTTTATATGGTATGTTATAAGGAAGAGATTGCCAAAATATGCAACTATCTGGGAATTAGAAATTGCAGTCACTAACCACAGGATTTCTAAGTTTTGCAGCTGTTTTCCCCCTTACTCATTAGAACAGCAGTGCATTCTGCCAAATAATATTCCCCAGGCTTCCTCTTTTTAAAGTCTCTAAAAGCAACCTGTTTGGACAGGGTGAGCATTTTTATCAGGTCTGACAGTGGAGAGAGACTGATGGGTAAATCTATCCCTTCTTTTCCAGAAAGTCTGTCAGAATGGCCAGATGTTTGTCTGTCACAACAGTCCATCTGGGAAAACCTCTCCTTCTGCTGTCTCTTGCTCTATCTCTTCTGATGTACTTGCAAAGCAGATGTAAAAATTTCTCTGATTTTACTCTTGTGAGGAAACCACACAGAGGAAAACAGAAGACAAAACACTGTGAAAATAGTTCAGTAGGACAGGGTGGATGCAAAAATGTGTGTTACATCAAAGGTAAACTGTGGAGCTGAAATGCCACATCATCTGGGGATTTGGCTTCTAGTCAGAGCAACTCAATGTGGAGTTACGTATACATCTGAGAGAAATTCCTTTGCTAGCAGGATCACTTTTTTGGCTCAAATGACATAGCATCATGAAGAGAACAGAATGACACTGATTTAGCAAAACACTTTAAAAAGGGAATACAAAGAGGCTTTCTTACTTTCGGTCCATGTCAGAAGCAGCAGCATAGTGCAAAGGGGTGCGTCCCCAGTCATCCGTTTCATTGATATTGGCTCCTGTTGTCACCAGTGTCTCAATACAGTGGAAATGACAATTTGCAGCTGCATAGTGCAAAGGTGTCCTGGAACATAAGTGACAATTTGTTACCTCATGTTCCAATTTGCACCACCGAGGATAGCAATAAATCTTAATTCCTACAGATTTCCAGCAGTCGGTATCAGTGCCTTATGTTTCTGTGATGAAATGCAAAGTTATGCAAATTTAACAAAATATTGTGTTAATAGGAAGTTTTGGTGCTCCTACAAAGCCTAATAGGATGCAGATCCTCAATCTGTGTCTTGCAAACAACCTGTTCCCAGTGACAGCCTCTGCTGTTGCTCTGCATACGTGCTATTTTCTTCCAGTTGGGAGGCAGAGCAAAGCACGGTGTCCCTCGCAGCATCTTATTTAGCTGGCATAGCAACACTCATAGCAACACTTCATATGGGGGAAAAAAAAAGCCCTCTAGGAAACACGTCAAATAGCAGCAATCCTCCCATCATAACCCAGGTGTTGTCTCAGGCACACATGCACAAGAATTTTGGCAATAAGAGAAGCAATAAGGAAAAAATAAACCCGTGATATTTTTAAAACCAAAACCTCAAGAGGGTGGGATGGCTTTCATGTCTTTAATGAAGTCTGCACCTGTCTGTCTGGCATCTAACTGCAGCAGCAAGAATTCTGCAGGGAAGGCCAAACTCCTAGTTTATTTTACTGTCATTTTTCATAGAACATATGATTTTCAGACTGAGGTACGTCTTTCTTCCTTGCCTGCTAGATTCTTTCTTTGTTGTTTTTCAAATGATCTTCATCATTTACCTACCTCCCACATTTGTCCTTCTTATTAAAATCTGCTCCACTGCTTTGCAAGAGTTTTATACATTCAACATTACTGGAAAGAGAAGTAAAGAAAACCAAACATGAACAAACCAGAAGTTTACATCTGTGTTGCCCCCTGCCCCCAAAGAGGAAAAAGTTACTCTATTTTTGTATTATTTGCCATGCAAAAACAGGATACAACCAACTATGTGAAATTCAATCAAACAGAAAATAAAGCTTTCAAAAACTATTTCCATTTTTTTTTTCTAGAAAACTTCAAACTTCTCTTCTGCAGAAGAAAAAACATTAATTTTCCAATGAGAGCACAGTAAATGTGATCTGAATTCAGTGTGTTTGGAGATTTTCAAGGGGAGTTGTACTTTAATGCTTCCCACACTGAACTGGTTTGTTATAAGAGAACTTTAAAAGAAAGTTGTTGCTAGCTTATAAAATGCCAGTCTAATAACGAAGAGGTGACATTTAACGAAATCCACCCCCGTTCAGCAAAGCATTCAACAGTAAGCACTTTACTCAAATCCTGTTTACTTAGTGAGATTTAATCACAAGAGTTACTTTTAGGTTTATTCTCATATGATTTGTTGACTATTGATAAATTTAAGCACATCTCTAACTGTTTTGTTGAATAAGGGGCATAGCAATTTAAAGTGTCAATATCAATACTCCATTTATATAAGTGGATGAGTTGGACTCCATTGCTTTTTATCGGTTGAAAGAATTCACCACATCATAGCTGCTTCTTCATCTTGTTTAAAGCCAGGTGATTTTTAATAGAAAATAAAACAGCTGAATTCTCACATCTTTTGTAATTCAAGCGAATAAATGTATGACTCCAGGCCAGAAAATGACGTAAAGAAGTGCAGCAATTTCCAAGACTTCTCGACATTCACAGGGGCAATGAATCATTCGTGTTCACAATCAGATGAGCAGGCCTTTGAAGTTTGTTCTTTTCCTGGTACTCGAGCAACTCCCATTAATGTAATGGGAGTAACAGGCACATGTCAAGAAAAAAACTAATGCCTTTTGTATAGCTCCAGCTCCAGGGGGAAAAAAAAAGACTGGATGCAATATATTGGCGTATGCTCATCCCTGCTCTAAACGGCTATTGCACGAAATAGCTACAGAACACTCACCACAACTTACTAAAAATAAAAACACTTCTTAGTGATGGCAATTGTAGTTAACCACTGGAAAATGTGGTTTATTTTCATGAGGCACTTTTGCTTCTTATGAAGTCTCTCCTTCTCTTTAGGACTTCCAGGTTGTTTTTATTATTCTTTCAGGATACAGCCTTATCAAAGAGGTAGCATTTGAACTATACTATAATAATCTGCACCCAAGCAACAGTCATACCTCCTCTATTAACCAGTATCAAGAAGAATAACACCATAAGAATAATAAAAACAATACTTGGATCAATTTTATCAGGTTTTTGTTAACAACGAAAATTTTGTGATATACATTTTGGTCCACCGAGAAGAAAAAACAACTTCCAGAAAGACTGCCAAGTATTCGCCGCGGATGACCATTTCTGCTTGCTATAACCACAGAGAATCCAAGCTAGGTTCTAGCCAAGGCTCCATTTCAGCTGTTTTCTGAGCCATAAAGTCCTCAACAGAAGAGTCAAAACTCAATGCTTGCCAAACGTTCTGTCCTTTTGCTAGGTTAACTTCACAGCACTCCACTGACAATTATTTGGAAATATTTAAACTAACTGGATGCAACATTTACAACTTAAATTGACATACTTCAGTTTTCACTTGTTTCCATTTCCGGCCTCCCAGCACTTACCAGGAATGCATCACCCTGAGAGAACAACAGTCTTTTGATTTTCTAATTTGGAGGTTGGGGGTTGGTTGGTTGGTTGGGAGTGGGGTTTCTGTTGTTGTTTTGGTTTGTCGGTTTTGTTTAGAAACTTTTAAATTTGCACTTGAAAAACGGGAAAGAGGGAGATGAACTGCATTTGGACTCCAGGATTGCAATCTGATGGGCACTGTTGCGTAGTTACATTTTCAGACAAGGACACAGTCCAAAAGTGGAGGCCAGGAATAACTCGCCTGCCAGCAGCATCCCAGGAGCCACAGCTCCTTCTCCTCACTTGCTTTGCCCGAGGAACTGACAATTTCCTGCTGCCTGCTGGCCCTCAGGGACCGTTGTGGCCAACAGACAGAGCTGGGTGAGCATGCAGCACCCCTACCCAAAGCTGGAGCAGTCTTCACAGGGGCATGAAAAGGAAGAGTTTTACCCCCTGCCTGAAACCCATGCTTCACACCACAACCCGGCTGTCTGTGGTAGAGGGAATCAGACCACCGCCTTTACTCTGCAAGCAACCCCTACGTGAGGGCAGTGGGAAAAAACAGCCTCAAGTGACCAAAATTTGACATCAGACAGCTTTGCTTCCCTTGCACCGCAATAAATTCCGCCGCGGATGGCACAGTCAAGTTGGCTGGCACCAAATCTGCAACAAAGCCACAAAATAACTTACAACAGCTACAGTCACAGCTACTCACCCTCCTGCAGCGGCAGCGTGGAGGCACGTTCTTCCAAAACTATCAGGGGTGTCTATTTCAAAGCCTGCAGACAGCACGTGCTCATTACTAAACAAGGACACTATGCTATACTTTTGTCCTAGTTAAACCACAAGAAACATTGCAGAGACAGAAAAATCAGTTAGTTAGGAAAAAACAGAACGCAAGCAACTACAGTCAGAAAGAGGTTGTCACGGGAACGGCGAGAGGCTGCTCCAGTTTGGCAGCTCTATAAAAAGAGCTGCAAAGTCGACCAGCATCTATTTCCACATCCAGCTCTGTGCCACATCCCTATTTTAAAACCACGTGACAGGCATTTATGAGGCAGATACTTATCAAGAGGACTGTGACAACAAGGACATGAAGACAGAAAACATGAAAAAGTGAGGAAAAACCACAGAGTCAGCCTGAACATGAAATAGGGCCATTTTTATTGCGTGTGGTTTTCAGGTTGGAAAAGAGGCTTCCAGGAGCACGCAGGGATATTCATCGAGATGCACAAGGCCCAAGATATAAGCCCGGCAGTATTAACTCCGGTCAGCCAGAGCTTTTTCTCTTCCTTCCTGATCTGGTGGTCAAGGCCAGAGCACACCAAGGTTTAATGTAATAGGGTATGCAATTGCCATATATCATACTTTTTTATATCCTGCAGGACTCAAGTTTAGGGAAAAGAGTAGTTGTAGGAGATTTTACGTTTTAAGTAATGAAGCAATTTTCTAGAAAAAGCATGTGATCTGACTTGTGTTTTTATAACTCATGGGAACTCTTGCCTGGAAAAAAAGAATTTGGGATTTGGCACCTGATTACTGCCTCTTTTGAAACAGTTGCATCAGCAAACTCCTGCTTCTTCTGCTTTGGGCTCTGGTGAGACTGCCTTCTCGACATTACACTTTCACTCATTTCCCTTCTCGTGCCTACAGAGCTTTGGCCAGCCTAACTCCTTCACTCTGGCCGGATTCAGAAACACACTTTAGCTGTATCTACAATATATCATCGCCAGCGAGATGTAAATACCTGCACCAGTGCAGGCCCTGAGGAGATAATTTCTTGAATTATTTCTCTGGGGGCGGGGGGAACCCAAACTAAAATGGTGTCTGACATTCCTACAGTTTGGAAAAGGGTCCCAAATTTCCTCCCTCTTCCTGGTGAATTAATATGAACCCTCTGAGCCTGCCAGGGGAAAAGGGCTTCAGGCATGAACAATAGAGGAAGTACCAGCATGCCGTTAGGAAAGCCTCGCACACTCCCGTACACCACACCACGCAGCTGAACACAGCAGCACAGGAAGTCTTTCATTTGAACAGTTCACAACAATGAGTATAAAGGGGCCGTAAGCAGCAGAGACACACACTACTCGAGCTCCACAGACACTGTGCTGTTTACTTACCCGATGACAACAATTTCCTGCAGCAGTCTGAGTGGGCATTCAGCGCTGCTAGGTGTAAAGGGAACATGTTGTGGATCCCACACCTGAAAGGCACAACAGCCTCATTACACAGAGCCATGTGAAAATGCAGGTTGTGTACAGACACAACACATCAAAAGCTCCTTCCACAAAGGCAGCATTTTTGATCCTTTTTGAGGAAGATTCTTCCTGTCGTGTTATTTTTATCTGTATTTCCTTACCAGCCTTCTTGGGAGTTGCAAATATTCTGATACAGCAAAATCTTGGCATTATGCTGTGAACAGAATGTGGCAGGAAGGTTTCTAAAAATTCAAGACGAAAGCCAAGGTAAGGGAGGAAGCAACAGAGCAGATATTGCTTGGAGTCAGTTTCCCAGTGTGGGATGCACAAATTTCTCCATCAGCTACATATACTGCAACTGCTATTCTGAGGCAAAAGTAAATGCTAAAATCTTCTCAGTAGTATTTCTGAAATCCATTTTTCCTGCAGTTAACATCCTTTCGATAACTCTCATGTGGGTTTTCAAAGCCTGCCCTTCTTCCCTCTCTTTCCCCTGGGGCTGGGGTAGCTGAAGACTCTTCTTCACGCTTTCCTTTAGGCTGCCATGACACTTACAGTTTTCTTCCCACATCCTAAGAACCAAACATCTAATTTTCCTATTTGCTACAGCTAATCTCCTCACATGACCTTCCAAATTCTGCCCTCCCTCCCTGCCCGTCCGTCCGTCCCCTCCCCCCGCCTTAACGCATGACCCTCTTTTTCAATTACACCATAAACTTCTCAGAGCAGACATGCTGGGTGAAAAAAAAGTAGGCACCTATCAATAGGCTAAATCTCTCAGGCAACTACATAGTTTTTAAATAAGCCGAGTGCTCAGCAGCTTTTATTAACATCAGCAAATCATCCCAGTTCAGTCCCTAAGCACATCGCTATTTACTGTCTTAGAAGACTTTTGGGTTTGGATATCTTGGCTTCTGTCATTTAGCGTTGTTTTGTGAATAGCATCTTGTTATTCTAGAAATATTTTACAGGCAGTCCTCCAAGTGCATATAAAAACGGAGTCTCTGAAACCAACTATCTTGACAGGATTATCACCTACTGCCTGCTTCAGCAGATATATTTTTGAAAAATAACAAACTCTTGAACAATAGCAGATGTATTTATATCTGCCCTTTAATTCTGCAAGAAAACTGGTGGATGGGAGGGTATGATCACCTCGTGGAACAGGACTTCAGAAACAGATCCAAAGATGCAGGAACTTGTCTTTCTGCAAGATTCACCATAAATCACAATTACTTATGGAGCCTTAGACAAAATGAATATGGATACTTATACGGATATCTTGCTCTCTCCAGCATTTTATACATATAATGTATGTATTTAACTAGTTTTGGTTTGCTTTTAAAAACTTATTCTTTCCAGAATCCACAGCCCCATCCTTCCTTTGTCTTCACATTAAATTTGTCCTCCTTGCTGCTTCACTACGCTAAGGACTGACTTGTGATGCTGTACAAATTTTAATTTTGCTACTGTCAGCATTTACATCTTAGAGTAGATCTATTAAAAGTCGATCTGACAGCCTATTCTTTGAAGGAAACAGCAGAAGCTCTACCAAGCTGCTGCATCTGTATAAACAGGTGGTATTTTTTAGCTGTGGATTCATTTATTTAAGCTAACATTGGACATTCTGTATTGCTGTGCTTCTTCCTACACCCATTTCCCTCTGTCTCCTCCTCCACCTAGTTATCTAAAGCAACATTTTTCCTCTTTTTGGTCAAGATTTCCACCCAGCACATGTTTTGGCCGGTTTCCATCAAAATACACTATCTGCACATCTGCTAACCAGTGTCATACTTCTGTAGCGCTGTTCACACTGGTTTCTTCCATCACTTTCCCACTTTCCCCTTTAAATGCAGTTGCCTCAAAGACTGACCGAGCTGTCTGCAGTTGTTCCTAACAATGCTGCGGAGTTTTCTTTTCAAAGCCAGTTCAGGGAGCTCAGCCAGGGTTATTTACACGCAGCACATATGAAAGCCCATTCCCAGCATTTCAATGCTCCTTGTTTAGCACAGTAGCATCGTTTAGATCCGCCTGGTATCTCTGAGCCAACTTCTCATTTCATTTATTGCTGCTGCTGGAAAAAGTATTTCATTCGATCAATGCTCTAGTCACCCAGGTGTGAAATAGAAATTCCTAACTGGATAACCCCGATTCCAAGAGCAGGCTATCCCACTGCGTCTCACTTTCCCCTTAAATCTCAAGATAAGAGACAGACTGGGACTTATGGCACTGGAGAAAGAGCTAGCAAAAATACTCATCTATTTAGACACCAAGATCTTCATGTCGGCTATGTTAATAAAATCCATTGACGTTAGTTGAAGCCTGTGGAGTTTCATTATCCATGCCAACTGAAGATCTGTTCCACCTTCTGAGTTTGCACGGTGACAGTCGTACTTGATAAAGGAATATGGGCAAATGTACCACTTTTTTAAACATCATCAAGCAAACAAACAAAATACTGACAGCTGCAAGTATCTTCAAAACTAAAACCAGCTCATTTGCACCTGAAAGCAGGTTTTCCTAACTAGGTAAGTCAAGAGAAGTCACCGATTTCTACGGTAGGTTCGAGGTAGAAGACTCTTAAATTATATTTTGGAGAAATGTGGAGTTAATTGCAGAAAACTTACGTTCATCAAATCAGATACTGCTATTAAACACCTGGTACACACATCCCTCATGGCGTTGCATTGCTCTACTCTTGTACCCCTCTGTTTACCTTCAAGTTTGCTATTTTCTTTTGACAGACCATAAGAACCTGAACATACCTGAACAAGTACTCTTAAAAATCAAGCACCTGTCAATGTTTGAGTCAACAATACTTATCATATTGTGGGTGCAGTCTTGACATATGTGCAACAGAAAAAAAAAACCCAAACTGAATTGAATTGAAGCAGAAAGCACATTTAGAAATGTGTCTAATTTCAACTCTTTGTCCTTCTAGTCAAAAAAGACTTCCAAACCCACAAATCAAATAAAAGCAGTCCTATTATTTCAGCCACCTGAATATCAGAAACAATGCAACATCGACAGGTTCTAGTTATACTGAGATCAGAAATACCTGGGAACATCTGCTTTGCAATACTGCATTTCTATTGATTATCTTATGTCACACCAAAAGATACAAGACGAAATCATAATCACCATTTATGACAGGCCACTAAACATTAGGCTAATTTAGATACTAAGGAATGTGCACACAATTCCCTTGGAAAGCATCTGAATATTTTTCAATTACGATTCCTACACAAACTCATTGCTACAGACTTTATGGAGTAACTGTGATCAAGAAGCATTTTATGTAATTCATGTACATTATATACCACTGTGCCACATCAATGCTTTAGGAAAAAGAAACAGTACTTGCACTACTTCTAACTGCATAATTGAGCACAGTAGGAACTGAGCACGGCTTCCTTCCCCTCCACGCTTCCCAGTGTTCATATTTTAGCCCCAGGTCACCCACTGAACGAAGTGCACCGAAGGCTTATCCATTTTGACCTTCACACTTCAGAACATGAGAAGTAACTGTCTTTCCAGGCATTGGACATAACACCTGATCATTAGAAACAGCTCCACTTCAGCCACCTACTTGGCAGTATCGGCTCCGCTGGTTATGAGGGTGTTAATCAAAAGCTCATGTCCGTATCTTGCAGCCACGTGCAGAGGGGTGTTACCATCCTTATCAACACAGTCAATTTCTCCTCCTGCAAAATACATTTTCGTACAGTTTAACGCTGGAAGGTTAAGCGTGAACCAGTGACGACAAACATTATTCCTCTCTAGCGAATGCAGCATAACCAGTCCAGCCACAGAGACACGAAATTTCAGGACCGAGAAGCAGCACACAGCAAGCTGTCAGCTGGCAGCCACCGGTACTGAACGTGGTCTAACAGCAGCATTTTCCCCCTTCCCCAGAGTGCTGGGAAACAGGCGAACAGGATGACATGCAATGGTCAAGTACATGATTCAGACTTGACTCTCATCTAAAGGTACAAACAGATGCCTGAAATTAAACTAAAAAAATAAACTGCTGAAACTCTGCCCTTATTCGTAAAGACACTGCCACTCAACTTTACTCATAAGACAACAATGTTAAATAGAGCTCATTCGAGAGGCCAACAGGAACACGCTGCAAACAACCAGCGTGTTGTGTGCCTTCTCCGTGTCTTACAAAAGAACAACCAAACAGTGCTTAAGTAGAACTCTTCCTGTTGCAATTTAAGCCTGTCATCTCGTGGTTTATCCTCACAAGCAGGAAAAATAGATTATTTCTTTCTTCTCTGCTGTGGCTTTTGACTATGCAAAGATTGCTATCAAGTCCTTGTTTTCTTTTTGGACCAAGGAACTGTAGTTTTTTTAGTCTTTACTCGTAAGTCAGGTTTGCTGCACTGCAACTATTCTCATCCTTCCCCAGTCCTCTTCCAGCTGGCCCACATTCTTCTGCAAGTAAAATGCGTCAAAAGCCAGAAACAGTACTACAGCTGACATCTCCTAATGCTGAGCTGAGCAAAAGGATTACTTCATGCCTGCTGGCTACGCTCGTATCTCTACACTCCTGTACATTGTACAGCACCATGTACATTGTTGATCTTTTTTTTTTAAGCACCACAACACTGTTGACTTGTAGTCAACAAGCTTCTGATCCTCTACAAACTCCAGATCCTTTCTTGAGGAGCCACCACCCACCCAGTTGTTGCCATTATGAACTTGTCCAACTGATACTCCTGCCTGTGTGGGGGATCTTTCCTTTGTTTCACTGGCATTATAACTTCTGTCTCAAATTTTACAGGATCATTTTCCATTCCGACTCCATCTTCTGCCAAACTAACAGTCTCTTCCAACTTCATGTTTTATCCAAATGTTAAAAGCACATTTTATATTCCACTATCCAAGTTGTTAATGAAAAGACGGGATAGTTCCAGACCCAGGAGGGAAATTGAAAAGCCCCTCACTACACCTTCCATTTCAACAATCCATTTATTACTAACCTCTGAGTGTAGTTTTTCAACCAGTAATGCACCAACACTAATATATTAATACTCCAGTAGTTTGCTGTGAGAATACTTTATGAAAGCATGTTGTCCCGGTTTGAGGTAAAACAGGACCGATTAACACATGTAAAAGCCTTGCTAACATCAGGATATGGTAATATTTACTGCACATCCACTATTCACAAGAGATAACAGGCCATAACTGCAACAAGAAAAGTTCTTGTTAAGCACTATACAGCATTTTCTAACAGTAAATAAAGGTCAGTGAAATGCTGGACCAGGTTCCCTGGGCTGGAGCCTCCACCAGCGGAGGTGTCAACAATCATTACCTGCCCACAGAAAAGTCAGAGGACTGTGCTGTGTTCAGAAAGCCTATTACCCTCCTGTAGAAGAGAATGATGGTGTTTCAGCATCTTTTACTCTTGAGAAATCTAGGCAAGATACTGCCCACTCTCCCCCAAGTGTTTACAAACAGTTTGTTCATTCGCTCATTTCAGAATTTTTGGCTGACCTATGTAAAATTCTGCAGCTTTTCTTTTTCCCCGTTTTTAAAGATAGGTATCACATTCGCAATTTTCCAATTTTAAGGTAATCCATCCTTCCTCTACAAGGACCTAGAGACAGCAGCCAGAAATTGAGACATCTTTAGCCAACTTATTAAGTACTGCAGAATGAAACTTCATTTCTTTAAGTCATTGACATTTCTCTCTTCCGCAATATCCCATGGCAATGAGGCATAAAGTCACTTGCAATCAGATCTGTGTACAATACTAAAATTAGAGGGGCAGCAAACGAAGAAAGATAGAAGCAAAACCCAAGTAACTTGAAGAAGAGTAAAGAGGCATGAAGGACAAATGAAGAACTGCCAGTCCTTTCACACACAAATCCAACAGAGAACAAACAACCGCTGTAAGTCAGAAAACATATTTGACTAAACAACTAAAAATTGCATTAAAGCACAGATTCTTCCAGTTTGTCCAAACTTTTTTTATTATTACCATTTTATTTATCCAAGGAGAGATATGAAAACAATTTGCGTGATGACCTGGAAGAAGAATGATGTACCAAAGACCTCAATTTTAAAATACAATCTTGTGTAAATGTGTCATTACACTTACAGTGTAACTGTTCAGCCATCTTCAACATCTCACACTTAAAGTTCCAAGTTTGGGATTTTGGAAAACAAACAAACAAAGCAATCAACCATCCCACCCGAGACTATCCTGTCTGGTATAGTGGCCAAAGCTGGGAAACATAATTAAACAATCAGTAACAGCAACATCTGTCAATCGTAAACAGGCCTCTACTAGATCTCCAACAATAATATTTGTTATACTCTGTAGTATTCTTAGACAAAAGATATAGCTAATAAATGACTGATAATCAGGAATGCTGGCTATGCCAGAACAAACTAGGTGGTGCTGGTCCACCCTCCTGAGTATTTATTCAACACTAAATGAAGACAGTGGCGAGGGGTGGAGCTAAGGGAGGTGAGAGAAGTACAGCTGATAAGTAGAGGGTAGAGAAAATGGTCTGAGCTCTAAGAACACCAGGGCTCCCAAGGGAGGACACCTAGAACCATTTTCTTTTTTTAGTTTTTAAAAAATTTGAGAAAAAAAAAAAGTTGTGCCTGCTTCTCAGCAGAAAAAAAGACCTAACTACAGCTTTGAACTCGTTTTCACATTAAGAATCACAACTAATCAGCTGGAGCACCGTTGGCTGGAGGAATATGGGATTTTGCTAACAACCAAAATCTCAACTTGTGATGACACGCTGGAACGAGAGCTGTCAGTGAAGCTCAAAGCGAAAAATTGAAGGAGAGCTAAGCAGCTCTCAGAGCAGTCCTTTGGCACTCTGGGTCAGAACAACTGAAAATTGCAACCTTGGAAATGCCTAATCTTTTGGAGAGTCATTGTGCAGGCACAGAAACTCACCGTTCTGAATGAGGGTCTGCGACCGCGTGAACCTCCCATGGACAGCTGTCATGTGCAGTGGGCTCTTCCCATCCTTACTCTAACAGAAACAAAACATAAAAACAACCATTTATCATTTAAAACAGTGGTAACAATTTGAAGTCTCTCAGCTCAACATCCTACAGCTATTCTTCACATAAAACCTCTACTGGCTTCAAAAGTCTGTATGACTGAATCTATACATGATGGTAAATGCAGAAGGTATAAGCATACAAGTAAAACACTTCCTCAGCAACAACTAGGAAATGGGCTGGAGCGGAGCCAGACTGGCTGTACACAGTACCTGGTCAAAACCTACAGATATATGAAATATTATTCTTGAATATTATTTTTAAGTAACATTTCCCATTCAGTCATTATTTTCTCTAACCCTTGCAACAAGGGAAATAAAAGCAAAGGAACCAGAAAGCTAAGTAGAAGCGGTCTCTGAGAGATTCAAGAACTACTGTTTATCAATCTGCATTTTATAGACACATCCCAGAATAAAAGCCACTATATTGAAAAGGTTTGGTTAATAAGTTTCCACACAATCAGAAATAGGATGTCTACAAAAGACAATTAGAAAACAGAGAAGGCATATGAAAGGAAAGGTACAATGAGTAGAGATCAATGTTTTGAGTTCTAAAGAGGGAAACTGAGACTGGGGAAGCCAAGGGGCTGAGAAAATAGTGAGGGAAGGGTACCACCCTCACTACTCACATCACTTCATGTTTCTTGGCATGGGGTTTCACATTCATTGGAAAGCACAATTCCTAATTTCATTTTAATAATTCTGAGTTTAAATAGTACACTGACTATTCACTGATTTCAAGGGACTTGCCAGAAGCGTTAAGTGCTGGGAGACCAGTTTCACAGATGAGAAACTGAAACACACAGAGTTTAAAATACTACAGTCAAAATCTTATATGAAGTCAGAGATCTCAAGTCTCCTGGTACCTATACCAGAACCCTCTGTTGGATAACAGCAAGTCCCTTTCAGCTTCATCAAGATGTATCAATTGTACCTCAAAAGCATTCAGATATCCTAAACAGAATCAGACTTTGCAAACACAAGCTCTAAAATCAGTAAACAAATAGCCTTCAGTTCTTACTTCCCCAGGCAAGTCAAAAGGAACTGTTTTAGAATCAGATTTAATTAAATCCATATTTTAGAGGGAAGGAAAACACCAGAAAGGAATAGTTCCTTGACTTACCACCACTCCCTGAGACTACATTTTGACAGAGCTCCTGGGACTATATTTTAGTAGTGGTTCATGCCTTCAGGAGAGCGGCTGGCCTAGAGTTTAAAGCTGTCATTATACTTATCAAGGCACTGAGAGCTCCTCTGCTGGGAAGTAATCTCATCCAAACAGTTTAGTGATCAACATTCTCAGCATCACTCTACTTCCATCAAGGATTTAAAGCCATGCTGTACTCGTTATTATAGTTTCCAGTCTCCTGAGGTGTGCAAAATAGGATAAAGTAAAAGTGAAGAGCTGCAATGCAAGTTTTACCTGAATGTTAACATCTGCCCCATTATTCACCAGCAGTTCAAGACACAGTGCTCCATGAGTAGAGGCAGCAGCAAAATGCAAGGGAGTGAATCCATTATTATTAGGCTGATTTACATTAGCACCGTAGTCAATCAGCTCATTAACAACAGAATCCTGACCATTGTAACAGGCAATGTGAAGTGCAGTATTTCCATAGACGTTCATTTCATCAATCTAAAAAGAGAAAAGGAGACACAGTTAAAATTACAGACACCAACTTATCGTTTTACATAATGCATCACATACTACAAATGGAAATAGCTGGAGGCTTGAACTGTCATGGGGCATATTTCTCACCAGCAAATTTCATTGACAAAAATATACTCCCAGAGAGCTTAATTTGGAACACTTTACCTTTACTATTATTAACTTTTTATCCTACTGGCAATTTCTAAAAGCAAGCATGCAGCTTAAAGCTGATAGCAGGACTATGTAATGATGATGATGACAAACGTCCTAACAAGCTGGAAACCTTTTACATGTAAGTGGGAAAATAGGATAAATAAAAAGCCCACAATCTTTATTTAAAATAAAAAATTAAACACCAACTATTTAATTTTTGTGAAGATAATCAGGCTTAAGAGCTCTTTCCACAGATTTCTTTTCAGAAGGGAGTGAAGGTGTCTAAGTGAAGGGAAGGTGAAACTGCACAGCCATTTACACTTCAATAACAAACCACTTTCAGTAGCTCAGTATTATAAAGATGTAATTAAGATTATGTTACTTCTTGATGACTGGCTTAGTATTCAACTGCTGTTCTGTAAAATAGGACAAGACAGATTGTACAAAAGGCTCAGGGATCATGTGAATACCCTTCCACGAAATAGAGATGTCTCAAAGATCATATCCCCAGTGGTGGAGAATGTGGAAGTTAAAGGTAGTTATTAGCATAGCACTGCTAATAACAGGAAACACCTATTCCCCTTCAACTTCACAGTCAACAGCCTGTGAACACAGACTTATGACATTTTTTTGGCAGGTCAAGTCAGCTGGTTATAAAGCTGGCAAATGCAATGGCTTTATTTGACATCTCTGATTAACCAGTGCAGGATCTTCTGGTCATCTCACTGCTGCTTTGAACCTCTGAGTTGACAATATCACACTGAGAGAAGTCTGTGCCCTGAAAAAAAGTTCTTTTCCACAGTGAAAATTATCCTTCTCCTTCCCTCTGTCAGCTACAGAGGAAATACAGGTTCCTAAATTTACACAACTTGAACTGCAGTTTAGTAAAGTACACAGTGTATATGTTGAGAACAACCGCTCATCATATCAAAGGGAATGCTGAGCCTAAGGAAATCTCATTATTCCATCTTCCTCTGCAGGAACAGCATATATTTCCTTGTTTCTTCAGCAAGGTGGCCTAGAATTTACTGTTTGTATCACACATTTTTTTATTCCAGAATGTTTCCTGCTCTTGAACTAATAAACCACATGAAGCACAAGGTGTTCTTCATGGTCCAGAAAATGGGAACTCTTTTCTTTAAAAGCTCTGCCAGTGGCTGCAGCAGCACCCATAAGAAAGAAGAAAAGAGTATCTCCAAAACCAGAGAAACTTTGAAGCCACAAAGAGCACATTACCACATACCTCTACCCCCAGGTTAAGGAGGTGTTTCACAATGTTAATCTGCCCATTGGATGCAGCTGCATGAAGTGGGGTGTAACCCTTCTTGTCTTTACAAGTCACCTCTGCACCATGATTAATCAGCAAGGCAACCACTTCCAGGTGACCTTCAAAAGATGAGAGATAGTAATCAATGAGTATACCATCCTGCAGCATCACTTCTCCCAAATTACTGCTTTCTTGCTAATGCACTGCCCCTTTCGCTGCTGTTTCACAATGCTCCTACAGTTTTACAAGGGGAAAAAAAACATTTTCGTAAATGTTCTTAATCCTAGCTCCAGGTCCTGCCAAGAAATCCATGCAATACACATTCACCTTCAGCAGACATGTCAAAATTCCCTTTACTGAATTAATTTTCCAGTCATTAATAGAACAAAACCTCACCTCCTCCCCATTTATTTCTCTAAATATAATAAGTTTGTGTTTTTTTCTCTGTGTTACAGAAAGAACAGTGAGCACAGGAGCATGACAGTACAAGTCTCCCAAAACAGCATCCAGTTGATGTCACCTGCAGACACAACTGCTAACACTCATCATTTTTAATTCATAATACAAAATAAATTTAATAAATTATAAAATGATGGTATCCCCTTCTCCAGCTCCATTGAAGATACGGAAAACTAGATTTCAAGTGAGTGCTGAATTTGATGCAAAGCCTGCCTATACCAACACATGATTTTCTACTGAATCTACTGATCTTTGTATCAGGTTGTTGACTCTCCAAAACTGTATCATTAACACAAACCTGTGCAAAAAAAATCCTTAATATATGTCTAAAAGTGTTTGAATCTGAACTCATCATTTATACCCACATACTTAGTCTGCAAACTAAAATTACTGCAATAGCCCCAACAGTCACACAGGTTGAGAGCTGACTACCAGATCGATGGGACATCTGTCTTCAGGACTGAAATGCCTACCCCTGAATTAGGATCTCCCTATAGAATACAAGGGAAGAGCTGAGCATCTCAAAATGCAACTTATAATCCACCTGTATCTTCAGTTTCCTCCTCTCCCTGAGGGTTTCAAACCATCTGGCCTGTCTTCCCAGACAGTGCCCACCAAAATTAAACCAAGGCTAACTGAGGAATAGGCCTTATAACTTCATGTTGAAGCAGAGCTGTCTTTTGTACAATAACTTGTTATGTCAAACACCATATAATGTTGTGCATCATCTGAGTTGTACAGCACTTTGATGAGAAATGCAGCTCTGGTCACATGCAGGACTGAGGACACTTTACGGACAAAGTCCAAAGTGCCCAAAGATATCTAAGCATTCAAGAAACTACACAAGGGTTTACAGGATAAGATACTTAGATCTTATTATCTAAATTCTGTCCAAATTACATTTCAGACTCCTAAATCCCATGGCTACTTTAGGCCTTAAATGTTATCTAAATATTTTGAAAAGCACATCATAAATTTGTTAAAAGAGTGAAGAGCAAAAGAGATGTGGAATAGCACAGCACAACGTAAAAGCCCTTCACTTCTACATAGCAGAGTTCAAAGCTCACTAGCTCAAAAGCCAAATCACATTTGTTGGCAAGAGTCTTTCCATCTGTCTGTGCCTATCAAAAAAAAACCCCACAATATGCTTTTCTCACAGTTTGAAATCTCCTATTATCTCATTTCCAGAAGTGCCAGGACTAAAATTAAGAATTTGACAGGTGAGATGAAAGAGCTCCTGGCAGAGGGCATACAACACCTCATGAACTATGATGTGGAATATACTGCTTGGCCAGCACGAAAGCTCTTGAACCTGAGTGACCGCTATCACAGGCAGTCTTGTTTTAGCGTTTTTAAATCATAATGATTCACTATAAGAAATTTTCCTTTAACTTGAAAGGAACAATAATGTCAATTGATTTATTTAAGTAGTATTTGGTAAGACCATTGATGCCCTGAATAGATGAATCAGTTGCTCTTGTCCACTCTGGAATAAAAGATGACAAGTTGCTCTTAACAGGAGGAAAGGCTATGAAGCCTAACAATATTGTAACTTAGCTACTTATAAACATAGATAAACAGCCAAATTTATTATTGTATTTATCTGCATTTTATATAAAGTAGTTTTTAGCAAAAAAAAAAAAAGAAACAAATATAACCTGTATTTTTTCAAGCCCAAATATACTTCAGGCTGGACTTAGAGTCGGGATTAAAAAAAATAATAATTAAAAAAGCAACACAAAAAGCCCACATTAATTGTGTTAAAAAGGAAATCACAGCCAAGTCCTCACCAGCTGAGAAACCACAAATGGGCACGGTGTATTTAGATCAGCTGAACCCTTCCCTCTTCAGGGTAACTACAACACTCACTTTGCATGGCCTGGTCTGCTCTTCTCCATTCTAAAACATGTTGTTGGTTTTTTAACAGTAAATTGAAAAGAAGGAGCAACAGCCCAAGCCTTACCCATGTACGCTGCCCAGTGAAGAGCTCTTCTGTCCTTTTTGTCAAAAGCATTGATGTTTGCCCCCTTGGCTAAGAGCAAGTTCACCATCTAGAAGTAACAACAGCAAGTAAACCAACCCTGCAGATCACACACTCAATAGTTTATGCATTGTTCATCAATTCATATTCATATTTCATATTCATCATTCTAGCAATAAAGTTAGGATCTGAAAATTCTGCTTTTAAGCAATAAATTCGTGAATTACACAAATACTGTTCGAAGCTGAGAGCATTAATGACAAGGACCGGTGACGGCCACTAGCAACTAGGACAAGTTCTGTGTCCACAGATGGGGCCGAGAGCATGCAGGGCGCTGCCACTCTCGTGTGCTTCAAACTGAGCTTGGTAAACAACCTGGAAGAGAAACAGACCTGGAAGAGAAATATTGCTCTTAGTTAAGGCCATTTCAAGGGGTTTTCTTGTGGACTGGCACAAGATTCCTCCAGATCAGTGAGGTAACAAACCCTAATATCTGCTTGACCTTTCAACAAGGAGTGTCTATTTCTTGCCACACCACAGTGATTTTCATTGAGTTCCCATGTGCCCATGGCTGTGTGGACAGGCACCAGCCTGCTTCGCATACGACACTGGCCTCTGAGATAGCAAGACTAAGAGGTGAAAAGCTGCTTTTCCCATTGCCAATGATCCAACATTAAAAGTAAGAAAAATCAGGGGAAAAAAAGAAAGGAAACTGAATGGAAAACACATTCAACAACTGTCTTTCCCAGAAAAACATTCTAAAACCATAAATTACAGAGCTGCATAACTGTCTTCTTCTCATACACTGCTTTGCCACAGTAAAGAGATCGGCTAATAACAACATATATTCAGTTAACGTTTCTGATACACTCTATCCAAAAGCTCAGGGGCTTTAGATTATGATGGTTAGACTCTACCATTACTATCTTTTTCCTACAGGGCAGTATTTTAAAGGCCAAATACCATAATTGTTTTACAAGAACTACCATTTCTCTTCCTTCCTTTAATTACAGTACAACTGATCAGTTTTTGTGCACAGAATCCTACTATTTCAGTCAAAGACTTTTTATTCCTTATCTAGATATTCAGGTGTGGAACAGGCAAATGAGGATCCTCTCACCCAGATCTAAAGACACAAGCAAAATCCTCTACATAAGGGTGCTATTTACAAGTGTGTTTTTTTCGTATAGAAGCAGTAATTAGACTAGAAGGGTTTGCTTGTGTAAGATAAGTAGAAAAACCAGAAGCACATTTTCTAGAGGACTAATTAGAAAAGCAGACTGACTGGATCTCACACAGCTTAACATTTCTTCAGTATGAAATGAATCCACCAGTTTTCCCTTCTTTCCATTCTGCCACTCTTATTTTCACGGGCAGTCAAGCTCACAAGAGCCAAGCACATACTTAAGTTGCCGGAGCCAGGGGCGCAGCCAGGTCTCCAAGTTAGCATGCAGACTTCATTGCATGCTGGCTCTGTACAAGTACTTTCCAGCCACTCTCTCATTTCTGCAGGTAGGAAACCTGGAGCACAGTTTCTAAAGTAGCTGAATGATAGGAGTTGTGGGGGTCACCGATATGGGGCTCAGCCTAAACCTAGCCACAGCAAGCCAAGTATTTGAACGAGGAAAATAAATCATAGAATCATAGAATGGTTAGAGTTGGAAGGGACCTTAAAGATCATGTTGTTCCAAACCCCCTGCTGTGGGCAGTGACACCTTCTACTAGACCAGGTTGCTGAAGGCCCCATCTAACATGGCCTTGAACACTTCCAGGGATGGGGCATCCACAGCTTCTCTGCGCAACCTGTTCCAGTGTCTCACCACCCTCACACTAAAGAATTTCTTCCTTATACCTAATCTAAATCTACCCTCTCTCAGTTTAAAACTGTTACCCCTCATCCTATCACTACACTCCCTGATAGAGTCCCTCCCCAGCTCTCCTGTAGACCCCCTTTAGGTGCTGGAAGGCTGCTGTAAAGTCTCCCCGGAGCCTTCTCTTCTCCAGGCTGAACAACCCCAACTCTCTCAGCCTGTGTTCCTTGGAAAGGTGCTCCAGCCCTCTGATCTTCTTCATGGCCCTCCTCTGGACCTGCTTCAACAAGTCCATGTCCTTCTTACGCTGGGGGCCCCAGAGCTGGATGCAGTACTCCAGGTGGGGTCTCACGAGAGCGGAGTAGAGGGGCAGAATCACCTCCCTCGACCATCAGTTATGCTTGTAAACAACTCACCTCAATGTGGCCATTCAGAGCTGCATGGTGCAATGCCGTCCGCCCCCCTCGGTCAGAGACATTGACGCTGCTCAGCATGGGGATGATGACTTCCGCACACTTCACTGCCTTGTTTGCAGCAGCCACGTGCAATGGTGTCTGCCAGTTCTTGTCCCGAGCATTGACGTCAGCTGAGTGCTTAATCAATACTTGCACTGCTTCCTGCAATGGCAACACATTTATATCCATAAACAAGCAATCTGAATAAATTCAAGGCCCACGTTCTTGCCAGTTTGGTCATATTACCTATGCATATTACTCATGCATACCAGACACAGCCAGGAGGAGGGAAGAGAGAACTACATTAATCTAAAAAACCACCCAGGTTAGGGAAGTGGTATTGTTGATTCAAATGCCACCTTTTCTGTCATTTAGAGCAGTGTCTTCACAATCAAAATTTCCCAATTTGATTTTTAGGACGTACAAAGCTGCCTACACCCAACCTGTTCAGTTGATTAACCTTCAGTACCTCAGTCATCACAACTGTGCTCTCATTGAAGAAATGAATTTACTTATTTGAGCTCACTGTTACACAAAGTGTTTACAAAATGAAAAGCACATCATTTTGGACAGTGAAATCATAGCAAATTGCTGTAAGTTTTATTTATAAACAGGAAAAAGGAGAAAATAAAACAGAATATGTGAAAACAAAATTTTAGCTTTGCAAAACATGAGAAACACAGTCAAGGGTTGATGCTGGTGTCCCCAAATTAGCATTAGCATTCCTTCTCTCCCTGAGGGCTGAGCACAGGCCAAGAGTCTTCACTGCAACATTCATTCTGTCAGCCTGAGACCAAACAACATCTTTTAAGGTTAATTTTGTTGGTTAAAAGTGAATATTTCCCAGCGAGAAAATGTACTGTTCTCTCTTGAGAGACTGTCTCACTAGAGAATTCACAATCCATTCTTTTCTGCCTCTACTTATGCATCTGCCATTAAGCAAGTCAAATGAAAAAAAAAAGACCCTCTCAAAATTACATTTTGTTTCTTTTGCCTTTTTTTCCCCACAAACAAACCAAATACAAAAGAACCACTGGGACATAGTAGCCTTGTCTGCTAATTGCAACTCACAGCTGGTAAGAGGGAGAGCCCTTGTCCTACATAATACCTTATTCTTTTTTACATAAACTGAAAAGTTTTCTGGTAAGCCCAGCCAAAATTTTATTAATGAATAATAAATATATACAGTGTGTTTAAATAGCCCTTTTGTACCTAGAATGACCCAGGAGAGTGCCTGCAGTCTGTATCAACAGTACATCCATTACTAGGAATTTTAGTTCTTTGTCCTCAACCGATCTCAGCAATGTCATTTTCTACAGCCACCTCACAAACTGTCCTTTAACGGATTTGTTCAGTTAGTGACATTGCACCTCTTACAGCACCAATAATGATATATCACTGTTGATGTTCTTTTTAAATTACAGGCTTACTATTTTAAAAGTCATTTAAATGTAATTCACTGGAGACCTACTCAGCTGAGACATGAAGTCAGCAGGACTTAATGAAGGAAGGAAAAGTTAAAGGAGAATTTTTAAAAGTAAATAGTAAGGACTGAAAAGTTTAAGCTAAAATTATTTAGCCTTTTTAAAAAACATTTACACGTTTTTGTTTACAACTGCAAATCTGCTGCTCTATCAGATTTGTGATCAAAATGTTAAAATCCTTATAGAGAAGTTTCAAATTTTATTGTTTTTGAGAGCATGAGCTGTACCTTGTTACTAACATTTCTACACATGCATGCAGTCCACAGCTATGGTGTAAGCCTCTGAATTCAGTGTCCCTAGCTACCCCAACTTATCAAAGTGACATCTCTCTACCTTTTGAAACTGTATAAGGCTGAAATCTGATGCATGCATTAACAATCCTGCACAGACACACCTGAGGGTTGTTGATTTGTAAATAAACATTTAAATCCCTAAAGCCCACTTGAAAAATCATTAAGACTTAAGTAAAAATGTGTTCATCTTTTAAACAATCCATAAAAGGGTACAAGAAGACAGCTTCTGAATCCTGTGAAAGCTTCACAGTAAAAGATTGATAATAAAATTTAAAACATGTAGGTGATCATTCTAAAAGCAACTGTGCTCACAGGAACTTCAAAAACTACACCAAGTCCTACTGGTCAACTTCTAGACAATGAATTAATCTTCTACTATCAATGTGAACTATGAATTCACCTACTGCCATCTACTACTACTACTACTACTATCAGTTTCATCCTACTATATAGAAGCTGCACATTTGTTAGCTTGTGTAATAAAGTAAAAGCAGCACTGGAAGAGCCTCAGAATGCTGAATCTTGTTTCAAAATTATTACCAAAAGTAGCAATTATCATATAAATAACAAAGAAAAAAGACCAGGAGAAGAAAGCTATGTGTGTTTATAAAATACATAGTAGGCCATGAAAAGGCATCAAAGGCCATGAAAAGTACCTTCCCCTGCTGCCCCACTATCGCACCTGGGTACTCACTTTGAGGTAGCAGAACTGCTGGCACAACGGAAGGCAGTTTCTCATTGTGCAATTGGCCTTCAGCTGACAAAGAGTTAAAGATGAGACACAAACCCTCAGAAAGACATACATTTTCTGTTAGGACTGTCACTGACAATAAATATCATGTACTCTGACACATCCAAAAAAAGAAACCAAGCACACTGCAATTCCCGCATCAGGAAGATTGTGGCTGGTTTTTAAGGTTTAAGTCTGATCTTTGTTTTCCAACATGACTTTTTGTATTTTGCCTCATTACAGCATTCATTCTCTATCAGATATTCCTTTCAGAGGATTTCAGCGGATGCCAGCAGCTGGGAAGCTCAGCCAGCAGCCAAACAATGCCCGAGTTCAGAAGCGAGCCCAGGATTCCTGCCTCCAGGCTTGGCAAGCACTGGGACTGTTACGGAGGTGATTCAAGTCCATCAATCTCTGGAAGACAGCCACCCTCTGTCTCTTTTACAACCCCTCCCCTCGTCCCCAGCAGCCAATTCGGTCTGCAGTTGGGCTCACTGTTAACTAAGTATTAGGAGGATAAAAGTATACAGGGAGGTCCAAAATGGAAAGCCAAGAATAATGGTGCAGTTGAAAATACAGTCATGCCTGAGCTGCATTCCTGATAGTTATTGCTGCTCCTTTTTGAGATAGCAATGGAAGAAGTACAACATGATGCCAGAAGATTTCTAGTTGTCAAGTAGAAGAAATATGGGCTAACCCTCCTTTATGCATGAATCAAATGCATTAACAGAAAACCTAATGGATGCCTTGAAATGCAATTAACCAAAACAAACTACGTGGTAATAACATGTGGGATCACATACACATCCACTCCCTTCTGGCACATGCACAGCGTGCACACATCCATATGGATTTATTCCTCTTTATCTCACCACTTGAAGATGATGTGGCCACGGTAGACTCTATCCCACTTCAGTCCTGGTCACTCACTCCAGCTGACAGTTGCTCAATATGACTTGCTACAGTAATGTAAAGCACTCCACAAGGCATAAATCAACCACATTAAGGCTCAAAAGCAGCTACAATTAAATTGTAAAAGCCGGCCTATGCTTTCCCTGTTTGCGTCACTATGCTATGTACTACGGCTCTCAATGGTTTGCTTTTTCCCCCCAGCATGTAGTTTACGTGCAAAAGCAGGGTAATCAAATCTTACTCACTTCACTTCTTGAAGCAACTGCTCGATGGAGAGGAGTCAGCCACATATTGTCCTTAGCATTAACACGAGCGCCTGCAAGTAAACAGCAGAGGTTACATCCATGCCTCGGGTGCGACACTGAAAGCCTTGCCCAACTCCTTCCTAGGAACAAGAGCTGAGCCGAATGTGGGACTCTCAGCGCTCCCCACGACTCTCCGGGCACCCCATTCACCTTGGAAATGCATTGCCAGATCCTGGATCGACAGGAGCTGAAGTGTGGTTCGGAAAGAACGGAACTGGACAGGTCAGACTTATCAGGAATAGCTTTGTTAACAGCACACAAAAGGAGCAAGACTGTTGTAGGGGATTACATATGTATGTATGTATAGTATGTCTATGCATATGCGTTTTTTTAGATCAACTGATACAGTTCGGGGGAAAAACCACAACCCTTTGCTCGTAGCACTGCTGCTGTCTGCAGACATAATGAAGGGAACGAGCCTGAACAACCGTCTCGTTTCCAGCTCCATCAAGCAGACCACTAAAAGATATAACTGCTTCCCTGCTTCACAAATCTTGCTGAGATCAAGAAAACAGGACTGGGAAATGCTCAGGTTGAGGAGGAAGCTGGGCACTTACTACCTCAGCTGCTGTGGGTGTTTTTCAGCAAACATCAGAAGAAGAGGGATGAAGGAGACTATGCGTTTGCCTTCTGTGCGGTTCACCGCTAATGTGCACTCCGACAAAGACAGCTGCGCAAGAGGATGGGTTTGGGGTGGCTTGCGAGAATAAAGGAAGGATATTTAACAACTACAGTGGTGCTGGCTGACTGCAGACCCAAAAAAAAAAAAAAAAAAAAAAAAAGGATCCTGTACATTTGTGTGATAAAACATAAAAGAAATATTGAAATAAGTCACTGATGTGATGCCCCAGAAAGGAAATCTAGTGAAAAGGACTAGAGAAACTAATTTTTAAAAAGGGCTTAACCTGAAAATGTTGTACCTCTCAGGTCTGCAGGTAGTAGTACTAGTCTGAGAAGACTAGCACATGCAGAAAAATTTTAGAGAAGCACAAATATCATGCACATAGCCTGGATAAGCCTCTGAACTTCATGAACAAAGGGATTCTTAAGCTTCACTTTGCATCGTAACTTAAGTGCATACAAAAGCCCGTAATTAATAAATCACACTCTCTGAATCAGAAGTACTTTCCAAGAGCCGTTTCTCAGGAATATTAAGGTGCTTGCCTCTGAATCACAGTGATTACTGGGAATTGTGCTAGATAATCAGAGAAGAAACAAGTCCTTTCATATTTCCACAAGTTGGGATATATTTTTTTGACTGCAAGGAAAAGAAAGCCCCTTTCGTAACTACTGCAACAATTAGAGGCAATCCTCCGAACTCACCTCAGAACCTGGTACCTGGTGGTACAACCTGCCCTCCAGAAAAATACCCTTTAGAAAAGACAACAGCTTCAAAGGGTTTTCTAATGAACCTGTCTAAGCAAGGAAGCTGTTAGCTTCTTTTGTCTTCATGAGAAGGCCATTATGGTTGACACAGGTTAGTATCCTGCCCTCTGCCTACACTGCCCAAGGCTCTAGAGACAAGTAAGGCAACAACCTCATCCACCATCAAGAAGCTGACAGACAGGACTCCAAGGCACCTTATGTTATACTGTTTTGGCCTGGTAGGGGTCATGGGGATACAGATTGCCCAGATGAATTCCTAATGATTGCCACCAAACACCTCTCTTTGGCTTCAGAAATATATTTTGTATTTGCCTTGGCTTTTTGCCTTCTGTTCTTAACTAAAGTTTCTTTTGGTTTATTTCTACCCATTCTCCAACTCCTACAAGCAGATGGTTGCAAATCAGAAAGGCTTGTGTGTGGAGTAGCAAAGTGTGACAAACGTCATTCCTCAGTATTCAACAACTCAAGAGGCATCAGTGAATACGAAGATGATTAGAAGACCTAGGGAAGTGTCTCTGTCAGGAGCTATTCATGCCTTTCACTGATCCACTTACCCTTTGAGAAACTGAAACAGTTGCCAAGAAAACAGTGAAAGAAAATAATAAAAGCAAAACAATACCAGTATAAATAAAATAATACACAGCATGCTATCAGCCTTTTCTTCCTCAGCTGTTTTCCACATCCCTTTACCTCTTTGTGCTTTGGAGCTTTTTATGTGACAAAGTGAAATTGCTCTTACATACCTAATTCAACTCATTGGCTGAATGTGTTTGTGATTTCTGCTTTTAAAGAGCTGCATAATTCAGCTGTTACCTGTTACAGGAGCTTCTGTTGTCCATTTACTGAGGTGCACGCTTTCTAAAGAGATGTTTCAAAATGTTTCCCTCCATACTGCCCATTTCCTTCACCAAAATTCAGCTTTTAGGTTCCCAGCAGTTCCTTGCTGGCAATGCTTAATGACAATGAAAAAACTTAACCAGCACTGATGCGCTCCCTCAGGGACAAAAAATATCTACCATTTTAAGGGAGATCAAGCAGAGGCACCCAGGGAGCAATGCTGATGTTTTCTACACTTCACAAACTTGAGTTCTTGTGACAGCCCAGGGGACAGCTCTTTGAAAGCACTGAGTAACACTGAAATCCAACTCTAAAGACTATGTGCTCTACAACATGCTAAGGCACCTAAAATGAGCTGTGTCCAAAAATCAGAAGCTTAAGTTTTCAAGTTTTCATCTCTCAACACATCCTCAAAGTCACCCAGAAATTCAGTGTCCCTCTCTTCACTCTGGACCAAATACCTTAATGCACTTCCTACAAGACTCCATTAATTAATCTGTGTATAAGGACAAAGAGGGATGATAACACACTCAAATTGGTGTATATGGTGTCCTTCATAGTACAATCTTCCTTGAAAAGATAAGCTGCTTTAAAGATTTCCTTTAACATCCTTTCAGATAGCCACAGCACCCACCCACCCCACAAAATACCTACTTAAAAAAAAAACCTCCAGAGAAAAGACCTTTCTCAGCCCCATCCTTTACCCTTTGCCCTTGGGAGGCCTTGTACCCACGGGCCTGAAGGAAAGGCTTGGCTGTTGGATTTGCCCTCAGCCCCATCCTCTACCCTTTGCCCTTGGCTCTACCCTTTGCCCTTGGGAGGCCTCGTACCCACGGGCCCGAAGGAAAGGCTTGGCTGTTGGATTTGCTCTGTGAGGCTGAAGTAGACAACATAACATATAATGTTACAGATAAAATAACAGAGAGGAAACTTTCTGTAATCCACTCTTCTTTAATATGGATGTTTTGTAATCTTTGCCATCTTTCACTCTCAAATATTTCTGCCAAAAGAGGAAATAAATCTGAAATTGCCTCTGTTCTTTTGAGATCTGAAATAAACAACCCGATGCTGGCTTTCAGGAATAAAGTTAACATCTCTTTATCCTAACCAAAGTACAATTTTCCATCCAGCACATCTGCCAAATCCACAGGACTCCAATAAATCTAGATTCTTCAGTCTAACTCTCTGAAATTACGGATGGTCAACAGAGGAAGGACACTCTACTCTTTAACATATTAATGACACCATTAACGTGCACCTTTCCAACTCCTGCTCTGAGACACAGCAATGGACACACGAAACCAGAAGGAATGCCTCCCCCCAACACACAATACATACAAAGATCAGCATGAATAAAATATAACAACAGAGCAGCACCACCTAATAGATGGAACTGGGACCCACAACATGAGCAACAACTGAAGAGCCTGGGAACACCTACATTGCAGAAACAGGAGGTTAGGCAGGATCTCCTCAGAGGCGAGTCTGAGTTATTTGCTAGGGAGGGACACGGCCTGGGGATCCCACGAGGTGAGAGCACACAGGTCCTGGGTCACTCATGAAGGAGAGAGGAGATAGTCCTGGAATATCCTCTAAACTTTCACCTGAAAGGGCTACTCCTAACCCCCAAGGACAGGAGTCTCAAAGCCGTGGGAAAGGTAGAGAGAAGGCTGCCCCTCCAACCCACCTATTCTTTAGGCTGCCATAAAAGAGGAAGCCCTGAATGTGTGTTCAGGTTACACAGTGCCTTCCCCTGCTGCCTACACAACAGGGATGGCCCAGAACCTGCTGCGCATGTGACAGTCTCGCTTCCAAATCTGTGTGGCACAGCTTACCAGGAACCCTTCCAAAGCATGCTGGGCTTTGTCCTTTTCCTCAGCTATTGTGCAATTTATGAAGGATGGATGTCAATATTGCATGCACACCCCCAGTGCATAAACTTCTTGCCAAGAAGCTCAGAGTCTTCTGCAATAGTAAGGGATGACAATATTGCCAAGATCGCAAGCTCCCAGGTGGGGAACAAGGGGTAAGGGACTGAGCGCAAACATTATGCCTTCAGGCACCAGCTCAAAGCCCAGGAGGGGGAGAGGCACCAGCACAAATGAGAATGGAGCTTGTATTTGCCCAGACAGTTCTTCTTGCACATCCATGACTGTATCATCTTACAGAGCCTCATTTACGTGAGGTGGTTACTCTGGGTCCTTCTCCTTCTTGACGGAAAGGAGGTGAAGGAGAAGTGGTCAAAGCTCCATGCTTTCATGTAGCCTAGAAAAACAAAACCACACAGCACATTTCCCCAGTTTGAACCATATGATTATGGATCAGACCTTTGAGCTCGTGTAAATGTACCTAGCTCTGACATTTAATGGGCTGGGGTCATTCATACTAGTTGAGGGATCTGGCACTCTCTCTCCTGTATCAATTCCAAACAGACTCCATTTCAGTGGCTACCTAGAAAGCCATTTCTGGTCTGTCTCCAACCACCTGTGCAGAAGTTTTATTCATTAGACACTACATTTATTTGTGCTGCCACCAGTTCACAGCCCACAGATCTCAGAATGTGCCTATCTCATTTAATTTCTTTCCTGAGCCCTGTACAAAATGCAACGGGTTGCTACTCCTCCTACCTTCTACTCATTCTGAGAATATTATCGTTTGATGCCAACAGCAAGCATTTTTGCGCTTTCTCTCCGTGAAAACACCCTTTCATTTAAGCCAGACAACAAAGGCTTTCTGCTTAGGTAACTGAATTTTATGACGAGATTAATATTTTATGAAACACTTTTACTAATACAGTTTACTGAATGAAGAGGTGAAGCAAAGGGAAGATGCTGCTGTTGTCTTTGGAACGTAGTTCACAGAGAGATCACAATAACAAAGAGGTGTTTATAATAACTCATAAATCTGCTCCTCCAAACCTCATAAAACTCCAGACCTGCTCTTGGATACAAGTACTGATGCTTACCACGAGTAATGATACTTCAGAGGTTAAAGGATAATGGATAGGTAGAACATGCAACACAAGATTAGTTTTGACTCATGCTGAGCTAGTTGGGAAAGATCCACACAGTTCCTGCAGAATGAATCCCAGCACAGTCCCACTGACACAAAGTCCAATTTTTAAAAGCCCACCTTGTAAGTTTTTCACAATCACTTGAATATATAAAAAAACCCTGAGATATATCACCTGCATTTTATGCTGTTGCCCAGGCAAACACTATAGTCCGTGGATGGCACTTTGGCAGTGAGGTGCTGTAACTAAGCATCCCCGAAGAACACTAGGAAGTCTCCTTCCCTCATTAGGAACATGATAGAAAACAAGAATGTTCACCAGGACATTTCTTGATGATGCCGGGATTCAGGGGAGAAATGGGCAAAGCAGCTTCACCTTTCTCTTTACGTGGATATTGCCTGTGTTGTTACTTGAAAAACTTGAAAAAAGGCATTGCTCCTGCAATCTCCTCACACCACAATGCAACAACAGTATGTGATAAACAACACACACAGTAAAAATGCACGCACAGATGAAGTTTATTAACTCTTATCTCCCATTGAAGAAAAGCATGTTTGCATTTAGCACACTGAAAACCCACCTAAGCATAACCTGTCAGCAGAGGAATATTCACTTAAATCGTTTTGCTGGCACCAGGGTTAGAGCAGAAAGATATGATGTATGTCGAACCAGTTACCCCCGTTAAGCAATCAGACAACTCAAAATGCCCCCAAAAACATACAGAGGAAAAACATAGCTACAGCAAACTGAATTCTCATTTTCTGCCTTCTCCAGGGGTGGTCAGGCTGGTAATCCAAAGAATTATGTTTGTGTAGTCTGAACGCGCCAATTAGCAACCTGATCTAACTTTGAAATTGTCTGGTGCTCTAAGCAGGGGGCTGGATCTAGTAGCCTCCAGAAATCCCTTCTAGCCTGAATTATTCTAGGATTCAAGGTTGGAAATTAGAAGGTGCCTCACAATCACAGGACCGATAGTTCTGAAATAACTTTCTAAAAAAACCACGCAACTCATTTGAAGAGGCAATCTAATAATTTGTGAAACCAATCACATAGCAAGGTTGCCTGTAAAGTGTTGGACATTTGTACCATAAGGTTCCTTTCAATCCCACATTCTTAAACCACCATAAGCTTTACCGTTAGAGTTCTCCAGTTTAGAAAAACACTGCCTTTGAAATCTGCAAGCACATCCAGGAGTTTGCTGTGAATTATGTGTACTTCTTGAGAGACATCTGTTTTACGCTTTGTTCTGACATATTTTGATCATGTTTTTTGTCACTACAACAGTTTGGAAATATTTTTTTATTTTTTTTCGCAGCGCTTCTGAAAAGGTAGGTTAGCATTATGTTCCTACTCTGAGCTGGGAAACAAATCCAGGGGAAGTTAAATTAGCAGAGTCAGCATGAGGGATTAAAACTGCTCTTAGTCCAATGTTAAGACCGTACTTCAGTCTTTATGTCACATCCACACACAATAAACAGAGGTATTTTGAGCACCTATGGCCAAATGTCTGTCAGGCTCCACATATATGCATATGAACTGTTGCTTTTGTTCATGATTTCTCATGCTAAGACATTTGATGACAACGTACAGGATGAGATTTTTGGCAATACCCCAACAAAGCATTTGAACTAATATACAAAGACATTTATGCTTTTTAAGAGAAAATGTAAGCATTTACAAATAGTGTTTCATATACTTCGGTTTTGACTAAAGTATCTTTAGATAGGGTACAAATATAAGACATATATTGTGTGTGCACACATACAAACGTACATACCTCTCTACCCTAAGAACATAAAATGTTTAGATTAACTTTTTTTTTTAAAACAAATTTCTCTTTTTTTTTAGGTACTACTGACAAAAAGATCATACTTTTCAAAAATATATTTGTTAGTATAGATCAGTTCCAAAAAACACCAGTTGTTCTACCTCTGATTTGCAAGTTCGTGGGTTTACATTTCTTTAGATACACCCTACTGCACAGTTTCTATTCTCTAAATCAACTTCCTGACTTTTAGAATCATGTTTCTAATGTAAATACCACTTACAATTAATTCAAACTCATTTGTAACTTTTTTGCTATTATTCCATAATTATTTTTGTTTAACGGGAATTCTTGGCTTGTACTCCAGGATGTCACCCCACATTTCAAATACGTACTTCAGCAAATTTCTGAATCCCCAAATATTATCAAGTTTTAGAATTTTTTGCTTTATTTATCAATTCCGCTCTGTCACAGTGTCTTTTTTATAATGGTATCACCAAATTCAAATATATTTTCTAAGCTTGTAACAACTGCAACCAGCTCTACGAAACTCAGAAATAGGTACTGCCCAATATATGCTTTGCTGGGTATTCCTTGTAGCTTTAAAATTAGCTAATTTACCAGTTAATAACAGTGAGGAACACTACCTTACCTGACAAAATGAGCAGCTCAATGATGTCTGCATCCCCCAGGAATGACGCAACGTGAAGAGGAGTTCGTTTCTCGGCATCCTACAAAGCCATAGATTGTCCAGTTATAAAACACAGCCAATAACTGCAAGCGTTAGTGTTAAAGATCAATGGATTTGTATATAGTGTTTATTTTCCTATGTTTATTTCTGTTTATAATTAGAAATGCAAACTCAACCAGTGAAAGTACAAAATTCAAGCTCTGAACACCACACTTCCTCCCAATAATCCTCAAGTTTTTTTATCACTTGGTTCCACCAGACCTTGCACAGACCTTGTCTTTACTCTGAAATCCTGTTTACAGGTGGATCAAATCAAATCTAAAATGAGGAAAGAAATCACTCTTGGGTCTCTTTCGGAAATATTTTCTACTCTAAGTATTGCAGATACTTATATAATTCAGATGCTTCAGTTTGCATCAACAATATGACACCAGCCTCTTCAGAAGGGTATCTCTGGAGAATGGTTTGGAAACACACACAAGGACAAGATGCAATCCTCTTGGTCTACAAAGGTTCTTGTACGCCATTTAGCCTGGTTGCGTACTGCAGCCCAAATGGGCTTGTACCCCTTGACTGACCTTTAAACACGAAAATAGAAAATACTACCAGTCAGGTGTGTGTCTTCAAACTTAGAAGGACTGCTAATAATGATATATACAACTTCTGAAATACATCTACTTTCATTTGATTTCTGTAATTTTCAGCCTTGAGGAGTTACATTTCCAAGATGGAAACTTCAAGGGGTGTAAATACAATGCTTACCAAAATACCTTGCTTTTATTGCTTTATTCAGATGATTCCAGAACATAGGCCTTTAAAAGAAACTGCTAAACATTATAATACAGGCAACAAAAATCACAAGAACTGCTAATATTGCTAATCATACTAGTCAACCCCTGTTTCCAATCCTAAATGTGTTTCATTTCAGTTTCTTAACCACTAATACAAAAAAAGTTCTAAGAGACTTATCAATCAAACTTATCAAATTACAACCTACCAGCATTAAATACTGTAAGCTGGTAACAGATTCAACACCTCCTGCAAATTATACCAACACAGAAACCCTACCAGTATTTACACTCTCTCCCTGAAACATATCTCTGAGCCTGTCAAGTAAAATATCACTTTTAACATGCCCAAGAGGCCATCAACCGCAAGCTATTTTGGACCATCTTCAAAGTATGTTATAAATGTGGACAAATCAGTGCAGCATTTGTCATGTGAATGCTGAAGACTGTTTTCCAGCACTGAGAGGGACAGAGCCACTGGTCACTAGAAAAAGTTATGTTTAATTTCTATATTTGTATGTTTTTTTCAAACATACATGATGTACGCAGTCCTCGAATTCTGCTGCAGCGGGTTTTGACCTTATATATTGGGCATGCACATAAAACACTCAAAAGACAGATTATGTGACACCCTGGTTGTCACAGGTCAGAGGGAAAAATATCTTATAGAACTTCACCTCCTCATATGGTAGGCAAATTAAAACAATATTAAACAGTGTGCATCCAGCAGTGTCTGCTCAGGAACCAAAATCACAAGCTGGATTCTCTCATATGCTCAGTTCCTAAAACATAATCCACCACAGACCAGCTTTTGCAGGCTACATGAGTGCACACGAGACCTTTCGTAAGTACTGCTTCATATTACCTATGCTAAGGCTATTCATGGCCAAAAAAAAATGCTAAAACTGATCAAACATTTGTACAAAAATAGAATTGGCTTTATTTAACTTTTTTAGCTTGTTCATTTTAATGCATGAATCTCTCTTTATCACAATGTAGTATTTGTAATAGCTGTCGTACCTGTCACAGTGATAAATTTTGCGGCAGCTTCTTGCAACACAGCCAAGTTTGGCAACAGAACAGAGTAATTTGAAGTTGAATACTAATGATACAAGACCAACATTTTTTCTGTATCAAGGAACCAAGGCTATTCAGTGCTTTATTGATTAGAAGCAATATTTTATACTAAACTGAAAATCTGATGGAAATTTGACAATTGAGGGAGGAAAGAACATGAGACAAAAAAAGTAGAATTTTTATCCTTCTGTAACAGGAATAACACTCTGAAAGTATTCTCAGCTTTCACTTTTTAAATTCAATGCAAAATCCTACCAAACTAAGGGAGAATCAAGTCTTCAAAGAAAGATGGGTTTAGTCACGCAGCTGAATTCAAGCTTAATTTCTCCACGAAGAAAAAACCCTAACATTTCCCCATTTATCACAGCCAGGCACAAATCAGAGTTCACCCTCACATGAACTAGCCGACGACAAAACCTGATGTGTGGTATAGAAAATTAAAAACACATGAAAGAACCCTCCAGCCAATGTTTTCAGGAGTTTGGCAGGGAGACGTCCGCACACAACGCCTGCAGCTGAGTGTGCAGTTGAGCAACTCAACGGAGGAACATCCTCGAGTTCCTGTTTATGCCGACACCGAAACAGGGGAACCGGGGCACCCAACCACACTCCTTGCCTCCTCCTCAAAGCTGTGTACTGCTTCAACGTGACTTAAATATCTCACTGGCTTTGCCTCTGGCCCATGCACTAACATCTATTCAGCTACAGACGTCCTTGTGGCATGACGGCAGCAGAAGCAATACAAATAAGTAAATTAATAACGATCTAAAAACTGAAGGCTACCAACAGAGAGGAATAAAAAGAAAACTTGTCATTTCAGGGAAAGGTCTGGCAGTACCCCAAACCTGAACATACATTATCAAGGCAAGGAAAGGAGGTGGGGAGAAGAAATGATAACAGGATTACAAATAGCATTAAGACAAATGATCAGACCTGCTTCAAGTGCAGTTCTCAGAGGAACAAAAGGTCAGTAAAAGACAGTAGATAAGCTAAACAATGGCTAGAAAATCATGCTGAGATGAGATAAACACTCTCTCCCCAAAACTGTACTAGTGACTTGTATTAGTGACTTATATTATCTCACAGAAAAGATGATGTTGCATGTTAACATTATCTGTATACATATTTTTTTTAAAAAGTGCAGATAAAGGAAATGAAGAATTTCACAAATAGGCAATCGAGGACAGAAGGCCTCAGCAAGAGAAACACTCAACACATGCTTAAACTGTTCAAGTGATCACAGTGACACTGATAAGGCCCTTCACGGACTTAAAGTTAGGCTAGTCCTTAAGTGCTTTATTGGATCAGAGCCTTAGAGTACATGAAGATTAGCCAAACAGTGGCTGGCATGAATCATATCAACACGCGTAAAATATTCAGGCACATTATGAAAAAGGACAATTTCTTCTCAGCACAGCCTACACCTCAAAGGAGATAATGCATTTGAACTTTTATATCAACTGCAGCTGTTCAGATCAGAAGATGTTTGGGACAGATTTATTTGCTATTAAAATATAAGTGCAACTGCTACAGAAAACGAGTGTCTGTATCCCCTTTTGCCACCAAACTGCCTGAGCAGCCAACAGGAATAGTTCAGCACAGAAGGAGTTAATGCACCACAGAAACCAAGTTACTGAAACTTCATTGATAAGAAGTGTTTGGATTCCCACCGCCTTCAAGCAGCCATCGATCTTCCGGGGGGGCAGAATAAACTAAACTATATTAGAGACACAGGAATGACTAAAACTTCCATTGTAGAACTCTAACCAAACAATAACCTCCTGCTCATTCACTCCAATTACTGTTGTTACACCTGAGTACACCTTATTTAAATAGCAGAAAGTAGCTGGTACCATTAAAAAAACCCCAAACATTCAGATACAACTTGACTTCAGGAAAATGAAATATCGGGAACTGGTTAGGAACTACTGAAAAGGCTAAAAGCAAATGAGCAGCTACTTCTTGGGCTATTTACAACCGTTCAGAGCCAAAAGCTGATGCTGTACAAAGAAAAACTCTGTCACTTCAGGATTTCCTCCATCTCACAGATTCTTTTATTAAAGCCTGTAATTCACAAAGCAAATTGAAATGCGTAATTGTGAGCATCAGCTGGGAGGTGAAAGTCAAGCTGTGTAACTTACACCTGGTGCTCTTTCTTCTGCTACAGCCAAGCACAGAAATTCCCATCTGAAAATGCAGATCCTCATTCTAGCACCTCTCATCCCCACAGTCTTCAGTTTAGCCTCAAAAATAAAGATTTTTCTGGACTGAGTCTTCAACTGCCAAGTGCCCATGAGGTAGAAGAGGCAAATACTTTGACCTTCTAGAGACAAGAAGAATTATCTTCCCTCTCCCCTCCATGTAACACTTTCCTTCCATAAGGCTGACAGTAGCTTTCATGCAAGAAAAAGACAACTTCTAAAATTAATTACTAATCCTAGATTGAGACTTTAGAAACTGTTATCCTAATTAACGGAAATATTTCGATGTTTATAGCAGCGAGTTTCCATCATAAGGTTCAAAAGGTAGACTTAAATAACTCCTCCATTTTTATAAATGCAATATTGATGGGGGCAGGGGGAGGCGGTGTGATGGCATGGGAGCATACATCACTCATGAGTTCATGGGAAAAGCAAATTTAGAAAATTCAGGTATTTCAGGCTGACGTTGCTGCCTTTGAAGAAAATAAAGCAGCTACAGCCAAACCCTGCCATGAGCTTTTAATGGCCTATACATCCTTAACTGTCTCAAACTTTGAGAACACTGATAACATGAGTCATCAGCACAGATATATACATATAACTTAGTACCCATTAGTGTACTAGCATGCTGTACAAAGCAACTCAGAATATTTCAGACTCTCAGTAAAGTCCAGCAGAATCTTCTTCACAGTTCAGACATCTTTATAAAATATAAAAAATTATACTTCTTTTCTTAAATAAAAAATATTCTAAATAAAAGTTATGCTGGTTACCTTGCATCACAAAAATCGATGCAATTTCATATTCAATTTCCTTACATAACTGAGAATTATGCATAATTTCCTTCTGTAGAAAAAAAAAAATTCTCTATCACTTCCCACTTAAATTAACAGCATATCAAACAGCACTACTAGAGGCTAAATACTCACTGAAAACATAGCTATTACCTAGCACCAAATTGTCGTACTGCGTCAAAGCAGAAGCCTTCCAAAGTTCTCAACTACATCCTCCAGAAGACTTTCCAGCACAGCAGAACTACATCTAGAAGAGGAGCATTTACTTCCAGGATAGCTTTATTCTCCTGCAAGACTCCACAGTGCCAAAAAGAAAATCATCATTCCTTGGACGAGAGCAGAGATGAGGGTCTGGTTCCCAAGATCACTGAAATACCACATTACGGTCTCTCTTAGTCCCAAGTCAAACATGTCACTCCAAACCGAACAACAAGCTGTTTTTCACATTAGCTATCCCAAGCATGCAAAGCCTTTCAGACTCACAATCCTAAACGTGTGCGCACTTGTATCCTCAAGCACTCATACTACTGCAAAAAGCATGTTTAGCAATATTACAGAAATGTATGTAACTTCTGTGTGTGTGTGTGTAAAGACCTGGATAAAGCCTGAATCCTCCTAACAAAGGCAGTCCTGCAAATCTGTGTCTTACCAAGTAGGATAATGAGAAAAAGAAGTAATAAACAGCACATACACCCATGTCTGTCCATAAGTCCTTCCTTCTTGCCCCCCTTATTCTGCAATAAACCACCCTGGAAACACATGGTCCTGCATCTAGTGCCACTGCCCCTTCTTCTGCAGACTTGCTCAAAACAGGCAGGCGATGCCCAGGGTCACTACACCTCAACATGGCTCGAGCCCACGGCTCCCCACGGCGGGGGGAGAGCATTTGCACAACCAGCTCTAGACACCAATGAGCAGCGAGAAGCAGCAGCTTTCCCAGCTGGCAGAGCGTCGAGCCAAGAAGCTACGTGGATCAAACCCAGAAGGCCATATATCAGCAACCATGCCCCAACAGCAGAAACAGAAGCAACTACGTTTTGGGAAAGCAGATACTGCCTTCAACACTCGCACTGCTGAGGTGAGGGGGTATATTATTTACTTTCCCAAATATATGAATGCAATACAAGATTTTCTGGGGACATCAAAGTTTTGCATGTATTTTGGTTTTTAGGGTTCTATCCAAGAGAAAACGCAGGATTAGGGGATAAGGAGTAAAAATGGAGGGAAAGAAATGTCTGGTTTGGCTTGCAAACATCTCATCCGTTATGGGGAAGAATACTGGAAGGGGTTTTGCCTTTTTTGTTTGACTTTGAATATTTTAAAGGGAAACTAAACTCTAAGACTGAGATGAAAATGGAAATTTTACAGGAAGGATTTTGCTTTAGTAGAAAATCATGACATCGCACATAAGAACTGGACTCTGCAGACGCAGGATGCTGCAGAGCTGCATGTATCACAAATCCCAGCTAACCAGAGGTTACCACTGGATCCAGAACAATCCCTAGATTCTGAGGGTCATTCTCTCACACTCTTCCCAAAGCAAAAATAACACCCAAAAAAATTCCTACCTACACACATGTAGTACAATCACTCTGATATTTCTAAATGTACCAAACGGCAAGTGTAGAGGATGTCTACCTGAAGCTAATCTGGTGGTGTGGGTGGTCCCACCCAATATCCCAAACACCCTGGGAAAACAGGCTGCTGAACACTGCCCACAGGCAGACCACATTTCCCACAGAAACAGTGCATATTCAGTACTCAGTGGTAGGGAATCGCTTGCCACCAGCCAAGGATAACGCTGGCCATACCCTCAGGGGGCAAAACTAGCATCATGTTCACCCAGAGCATAGTTAGGAACTGGAGAGGTCAAAGTGACCATTAAGGTGGCAGAATGAACTACAAGCACATTTCTAAGCAAAACAGTTACAGCTGTCACTCTGCTGCAAAATAGAAGTCACAATTACAGCAGCATCCAGAATATAGCTATTTCCATCAACGTACACTTCCCAGCTTGCAAAGATACTAATTATTTTACCAGACAAAAAAAAAAAAGTAACTTTCTAAACTTCTGATCCCCTCTAAATTCTTTCCTCTGAGATTAATGTTCTCTTAAGAAGCATGCATATACATCCCTAACTTTGCATAGTTTCGCCATGTGCTTTTTTCTTCTGCTTTCCAAATACCTCTCTTGCTGCAGATTCTAAAAAAACAATTTGTAAAACTTCAGAAATCCCCAAAGCTTGCTGAAAAAAAAGTTTTATTTTATTTCCTTGTCCTACCAATATTTGAACTATTCCAATATTAACACAGCTAACCGAAACAATCAACAATTGCTGCCAGACTGTCAGAGTTTCCTCTCACGTGAGCAACCAAGCACTAGAGGAACACTAACATGGAAGTAATTAAAAACACCCTTAAAATAGAAAGATAAGCACGCAGTGCAAATTGCCAGCTCACAGCACAAACGGGGGAAAATGCTATCTTTTGATCTTTCCTTAGTGACATTTTAAGCATTTGACACTTGTCTGCAATCACTATCCAGAACACAATCTTCAGAATTCATGTTGACTGATATTTTTCTAATTACTCCAAAGAATAGCTTTATTTTCACTCCTGAAAAAAAAACTGTTCAGGCAAAGCATTCTTGGGTGGACTTACAGCATCTTAAACAGGATTCTGGGCAAGACCATTCAAGTTCAATGACATTTCCTATTAAGTACAATGGTACTCATCTATGAAATACATATTCTTCATTTAATATCTCACCTAACAGTTCAGAGCATCTCTCTAGCAACCATCACTACCACACTTGCAGCCAAAGGATATAAAAACATTTGAGAAACCTACAACCACCTTATACAGGAAATGCTATTTTGAAAAATCATTGTGAAATACAGAGGAAATTTTAGGACTATTGTGGTCATCTAGGTTGAGGGGTTTTTTGGTTGGTTGGTTTTGATCTTTTTCTTTGTTTTTTTAAGACCACCAGGGAAAAGAAATAAGGAGGAAACTCAAGGGAGATGACACTTTATGGAAGCAACTTATTTCAAGAAAACAACCAAGTACTGCTAATCCCAGGGAAAGCCTAACATCAAGGTCTTCTTTGATCAAATTCCCCATTTAAAAGAGCAGCAAGATTTTCCTTCCACTTGACAGCAAACGGAGCGGAGCTCCAATTAACCAGATCTGTAGGATCACTTCCCCAGTTCCTTTCTGCAGCTCTGAACCAGATGGCTGAACCCCACCGCCTGCAGAAGCTGCAGTGCCAAGACTACACCAGACAAACTGCTGGAGTTAGCTATGAATAAACTGATGGCTTTATGTCAAAGAAAGATATGAAGAAAAGGAAGGTTGATTCAAAACTCCAGGAAACACCTGGAAATCACCATTCTGCTTCTGCTTTGTATTCTCACCACTTTCAGAGGCCACAGATTGTAATCCGGACTGGCAGGGTTCATTTCTAACAATATGGATTTAAGCTAAAATCAAAGAAAGGGGAAAAAAAAAAAACAAACTTCTGCAAAAAGACTAAGTTTAAATTGAGATTTTTTGTTCACTCCCCAAATACTTAACTAATACTTGTTTACAGCTGCTTACCATTGTTCTGGCTAGAATAAGCCAATCTGCAGAACAGCAATTCCTCTGTGGGCAAATCGTGGCCAAGATACTGCTTCCTTACCCTCACTGCTGAGACCTATAGTGAAGCTTTATTTCAAGTACAGTCAAATGCTGAATAAGAGCTCCTGATCTGCAAAGACTCTTCATAAAAGGAAACTCTACAGAGAGTAAAAATATGCAGCTTTCAGCTGTTTTCATTCATTTTCTCGGTAAGAGAGAAAACAATGTCCCTGAATGACCTGCACATTTGGAATAATTACCATACACTTAGAAAATTTAAAGTCACCTGCTGGAGATAATTATATTTCAGGTTACTAATTAGGATTCCACTGAAGCCCCAAATCTCTAACTTCCAAATAATTTCCATTCTGTTACGTGTTAATTACTAAGGACATGATTAATATTGTCATTGTAACAGTTCATAAGAATGGTGCTGATGTATCACAGGCACATAACATGCCAAGTCACATACCAAGGCGTTGACATCCTCAGTTTTGTAGATCAACATCCGTATCTCTTCTGGATCGCCACTGAAAATCGCCTGGACCAGTGGTGGCTGGAAAAATAAAACAGAAGAAGCAGCATTAGAGGTTTATTTGTTTTCTGTTTAAAAGGAGAGCATATTATTCCTGCTAACATTTACTGATGCTGCTCACAGACATTGTATGAACCCCAGTAATAAATCACCAAGAGTATCTCGTCAGTAAGAACTATCAATTTGCTTGAGGATAAACTGAAATCATTAGTATGTTTGTACGTATAATGAGCGTGTGTGTGCACAAACAGGGACCCCCATTAGAATGGCAACTTTTGTCAACAACACGCAATTAGCCCAGATGTTCTCCCTGGCATGTAAGGGAAAAACTAATTACATCAGATACTGCTGCACGCTTGCTGTTGGCACAGATTAATGGTCATGCAATACACATTTAGAAACAGAACATTATGCAGATAATGAATTTCTGGGCAATTACTAAACGTCTAGTATCTTTTTACTGAATAAATACGCAACAAGCACAGTTACTTTTAACCACCCAAGAAGCGAAATAGTTATCTTTCAGAGTTTCAACTCTGCTATTATGCTATTATGAGTCAGAATGCATAAATAAATAATCAGGGATACAGGAGAAACAATATGCCATGCTCATTCCTCTGGCAATGCTGGCGTCACTGCCCGTCGGTGGGAGGGAGCGCTGCATACACTCAACCGCTCCGTTACACGTCCAGAGCTGGCAATTTCAGTCCTTCTGCTGAGGATCCCTCTTCTTGCTCTGGATCCTCAGCAGCAAACATCTGAGTTATTAACCAAACTGGCAGAACACAATCTGCGGAATTAAAAGAACAAAAGACCTTGCTGCTGGAGACTCAGAAAAAGAAGGGGACGAGCTACAGAGACACCTATCCCCCGAAGCACGCAGTTGAAACAGGCAGTGGCCCCACTTCCACCGTCACCCCTCCTGAAAGCAGTGTGTGCCCCTCCTGAGCTTGCTGCCCACCTCCAGGCTGCCTCGTGGTCCTAACTAGCAAAAAGGAGTTTGTGGTGCTATGCAATCACCAGAATCTGAAAATAACCCTGCAAAATGGAAGCACGCATGACTACTTAAGCACATAAAACCACAACAGTTCTTAAGATGCTGAAGAATTTAACTATCTTGTAAACACGTTATCTCAAAATTCACAAACAAGCTGGAAGAACAGAGAAAATATCGTCTTGTCCCAATCTTTTCACTGCAAAATCCATCATATTCAAATGCGGAAAATACATTTATAAGTCCATGGTGTCTATTTTAAGACATATTAATCCCTTATGTCCTTGAGAAAGATTCACACTGGAATTTCATTCTTGCCACTCCTTCAATGGAAAAAGGACTAAAGCAGCATCTTTTATCATAACTGCCTGCAGTCTTACATATTGTTGTGGATGTTTGAAAAAGAAAGAAAAAAGACCTGCATTTTACTTGAAACATTTAGCATTCTTCCTTCCCAGCCCATGTGTGAAGGGCCAGAGGCTAATTCCCCACCAGAGGATGCAACCACCACACCTCAGAGCCTGTTCCTTTCTCCATCATCTGCCAAACTCAAACAAATCCGAATTTAGATAAGAGTGAGATGATCGCATTTCTGCATTTTTCTCTACCAAAAGAAAACGTTGAAAGCAATTCTCTAATCTTATGCCCACTAGCACACTAATAAAGATTAGTATTTCCTAGACTTAGTGCAAACCTAACAGCTATGAAGAACCAGTGAATGTTTATGAAATTAGAATGCTCACACCAAAATATTTCCATTTCATGTACACTTATCATAATATTTAAATAACAAAACAAACAGGAAAGCATAGAATTCCTCAATTTCAAGATGAATGGCAACACAACCCAGTGGCCAAGCAACAAATACCCACAGCAGCTTGGATTAGTCTCCAAACCCCCTTGCAGGTACACCCCGCGCCCAGCAGAAAGTATCAGCCAGGCTCTGTTGACACGTAGGCTGAGATTTCAGAGGTACCATCACCAAGAGAAAAACTCAACAAACTTCAAATCTATCGGATTTTTTTAAAAAGTTCAAATACTTTTACAGGCGATATTTTTGTTTTAAGATAGAGAGAGTAAAGCACTGTGCATCGTTATGTTAAAAAAAAAAAAAAAAGAGGAAAGTCCACAATAAGACAGTTTGACCCTTTTCCCTCTGCCAGAAATCTGAATCAGACACCTGGTTTTACAGGAAATGCTTGACCTTTTTAATTAGCATCAGCTACTTAACACAGAGAGCAGACTGAGAATAACACAGAGTTCTTTAGACCTGTAACGTATGTAAGATCCTCATCTCAATTTTTGTCCACCCTACAACAGTCATAGCTACATGCAGTTCCTTAAATCAAAACCCAGTATTCACTGTGCCTCCGAAGCAGGTTGTAAGTCCCGCACTGCTGATATAGATAACCTTTGCTGACAAAAGATAGCTGCCATATACCCATTTGCAAAGGCCTTAGTCCTTCAGCCCTTTTTTCCATGAAATTTACTTTTTATAAATTAATTACAACAGAATCTATCACTGCTAATTGTAACTGCTAATTGTAATTGAGTCACTGCTGTGCAGCTTTCTCCAACTGGCCACTTTTCTAATTTACTATTTCATGATTTTACTTCATTTCAAAGGTATTAGTTTTGAAGTAAGAAACACATTATTGTTAAGGATTATTTTTTTTTAGGAATTTTTATTACCTATTAAGACATGTTTCTGTGTAAGATGCACAGTCATGTATAATGACCTGTTCAGGAAAAATACGTCAGAAGTACATTGCAGCATTGTTTCTGGAATTTGAGTTCAGAGCTGAGAATATGCATCCGCATCCATCAGCACGATGGAAAAAGTATTGCTCCATTCAGCAGCTGACAGTGATGAAACAGAGCTTGCGAAGTTACGTACGTGTTGATGATGGATGTCCAATGACCTGAACAGATTACATTCTTGATCTTTAGGGATAACCATATTAATGCATGAATGACTTCAACTTCAAATAACTTTTTTTTTAAAAAATTCCTGAAGGGCAGATAATGACACTTCCTTATTATCAAAGGAGGATACAGTATATTTTTTGAAATAATTTCTAAAACCTGTGACAACATCATTAATGCATTATTTCATTAACAGAAATATTTTGCTTTAAAATTCTTCATATTCAAAAGTTGTTAAACACTCAGAATTAAGAAAAGAAAAACAAAACAAAACAAAAAGAAAGCACAGAGCAGGTTACGTATAACTATTATTAGAACTAAGCAAGGGTGCAGGTTTTGGAATGATGAACAACTGTTTTATCAGCTCAGCTTTCTGGACCTTCCAAATTCTTTAAAAGACTTTCACAGCTGGGAGTGTTCACATTTTTTTTCCTGAAAATGTACACCAGCAGCTAACAAAAACCTTTCCATGTTACTTTTTCTACAGAGTTACTATTAGAAGTACAAAACCCATCAACAAGTTTTATTAGTGTTCTTTACTTTATGCTATAATGAGTGTCATAGTAAAAATAAAATTTTATCTGCAGAAATCTTCCAGTGTTGGAACATATCCCTATCTTTACTGTATATGGGGCAACTGAAAGCTGGACTTCACTCCACCAGGTAAAATTAGCTCATTGAACTGAAGGCACAATGATTATTTCGGCAACAGAGAGCTTAAACCCACGTGGAAGAATGTCCTGTGGCTCAGCTGGCTTCCACGGCGCCAACAAACCACACTGGCAGAAAAAATCCAGCCTTGGGAAATTCTCCTTCATAGATCTGATGGTAGAGAGGAAAGCCAACACTATTACCAAGCGGCATTCACAGGTCTCCGAACCCCAGATGAGATGAGTTATTTCAGTGACCTATCTCGAGTATCATTTTAATTACTACGTCCAAGGTGGGTGCTGAAGCTCCTAGCAAACCAGTTAATAGTTTGATCAAGTAACTGTGACGTATATTAAATATTTTGTCTTGATTTTAGATATCCTGACTCACCAACAAGGACTTATTTAAGCCAGATTTTCATTTGACAGGAGCTAGAAACAGATAGGGACAGGATGATTGATTCCTATTCCGATTTACTATCATTTGGTCTTGTGCGCAAAAAGAAGTTATATATTGATCCTTTACTTGTTCTAATTGCATTACATCAAGTTGCTGGACTGAACACTTGGATATGTCCATGTACTCATTTCCCTTTAACTGGCGAGACAATGTAGCAAGACACATAATCATTTGAAAGTGGTATTGATTTTGTCAGTGTTTTGCCAAACACCTCTTTTTTTCTGCAGGTACTCCCATTAATCAAGATTACAAGGTTGTCTGCAATGTCACATCACGTACATCTATTTCCTTTCACTGCTTCCTATTCCACAAATACTACTCCTCGTCCTAATTTTAATTTAGGACTTTCTCCCTCCGAGCGTATAACACATGAATATCTGAAATGCTGTTTTAACTTGTAAGTTGGTATAAGTGAGCAGTCATAAACGGGTTTTCTCTTAATTCTTAGAGTGCATTTCTCTGGTGGTAAGTATCTATACAGTTCCATGTACAGAAATTGTTCAACACTAATCATTTTTTAACAGGCCTTCCAGTCTATGTCACTTGCATCGGGGGTTAGCCTGTTACCGTGTTTTATGAATTAATTGCTGGGCAAATACAAAGAGAAGTTTACTCTTAATTTGTTATTATTTCAAAGATTGCACTTCTGCTATTGGAATTTCTATATACTGATTTCTGACAGCAAAGTACTTTCACAGAGCTGGTATTTGGAGAATAATGTCCTTGGATGGTTGCTAAGGCGTGTTTCAGAGCAATTACGGATTTTTACTGAGCAACTCCTAATGAATACTTGTCTAAGCTACTGAAAGGCCAGCGGAGAGAATAAAATCCATAAATAGGGTGTACTGGTCCTCTGGAAGCACTATGATAAATTGACGGCATTGTTAAGTGAGCAAATATATCTACCTAGGATATTTATACTGACCAGATCAATAAATACCCTGTACACTGCAATATTTCAAATACGGCAGGAAAAAAGTTTTTCAAT